GTGTGTGTGTGTGTGTGTGTGTGTGTGTGTGTGTGTGTGTGTGTGTGTGTGTGTGTGTGCGATACTTCAATATTTCCCATCATTATTTATTTATTATTATTTATAACCAAATGCAGTGATGGTGTGTGACAAACTTTCTGTTTTCATTGGAATTAACACACAAAGTATCACCCAAGTGCTGCTGATATAATGTATGGATTCATTAATCTTCTATATATTAGTTATAATTTATTTACTTTGCTCCGGAGCACACAGGTGTGTGTCGACACAACACCAAGGCAGAAAGACATCAGCAATAATATTTGAGAAAAAACAGCTGCTGGGACAGCTTAAAGGTTGTTTCATAATTATGTGGAGATCATAATTCAACAGAGARAAAGATAAAAAAAATCATTCAACACATGCCTTATTGCTACAGGACGTCCCACCAGCTTCACCCTGAGGTCAGACTGTGTAAATGACCAAAAACAAGAGCTTCTCCTCAGTCTCTACCAGACCCAGTTAGCAGATCAAACATTAGAGTTCCTCATTAAAATAAGAAACTAAAAATGAAAAATAAAGAAATAAATCTGACTTGTCATGAAAAACAGCTTCTCTTAAAAATGTTAGACTTTCATCTGAACAAACCACAGGACTGTGGACAGATGAGACCAGATGGACATTTTAGTTCAGATTTTGATAGAAATCAATCAATTAAATCTATAAAAATATGGACTCACAGTAACAGATATGGTGTTTTATTGATGTGAAGGCTCATTTATGATGACTGGTCAGTACAGGATGATTTATTTAAATGTCCTGATACATAAATTCTTCTGTATACTTACACACTYCACTGCAGTTAGACTCATATGAATGATATTTTGGGAGGTGGAGCCCTCTGCTGGCCTCTCATGGTGCAGCAGTGAGCTGGCAGGACAACAACATGTTTTATACATGAAGTTTTCACCCTCAGTATTCAGACGTTTAACTCTGATATAATSTGTATTTTCTGCTACAGTTTACAGATGTTATGTTGGTAACAATGAATGAAGTAAACATCATAATAACAAATTACATTTCCTGCAAAAATGCAGTGTGAATGCTTATTGCTGAATAATTTAGCTGACCGCTGCTAAAGAAGCTAAAAATATTTTTAACTTCTGAGCTGTAACAGTGAAGATGGAACCCAGAATTAGCTGAATGATTGCTAAAATTTGCTGAAGAATCCAAACTGTGAAAATAAAAGCTTCACGGAGCAAAGAGTAGCTGAAAAATGCAGAAATATGCAGATAAAATAATGCTGAAATGGGCAGAAAAAGCTCAAGAGGGCAGGAAAAAAAGTGAAAGGAACAAAAAAGAAAAGTTTAAAGTAAAAGAAGCTGAAATTAGAAGCATCCAGAAGCAGAAAAAAATGTAAAAAATAAAAAAATTTTAAACACCTCAAGGGTTTTCAGAATATTAAGCTTGATGAGAGAAAATGTCTATAAAATCTAAACAGCTGCAAAAGTATAAATTGCTGAAAGTCATGGGCAGAATGTTCTACAGAAGCTGAACGTTCTTATAYAATTTTCTGAAATAAGACAAAAATTGCAGAAACAAGAAACGAGTTGTAAAAGGTACAGCAGAAAATTATGATCTGAACAGTGTGAATGATTTATTGAAGCATAATGATTTAACCTGAGATTCAAAGGATTGTTGTTGTTTCTTCTTCTTCCGTGCCCATTTTAAATTGAGAATATTTCATGTTAAGAACTGTTAGTTTACTCTGTAGCTGTTCATGTGTGATCTGAGAATGACTCTGCTTCAACCACTTAGCCTGTGTGTAAATCTGACACATTTAGACTCATGTTGCTGTTGGTTAAAGGGATTCCTGATTAGTTGTAACATTAGACTTTATTTAATAAATATATATATTTAACTGTAAACTAAAGACTGTAAAAATACTGTAGGACGTTTAGTTTTTGTAATTTTTAACTAAACTTTTAAAAATATATTACACATATGGGGCCATTTTATTTACACACAAAGCATTCTGGGTAAATG